ATAAAATAAATAATAAAAGATTAAGTAAAAATAAAATGAAAGAAATGAAAATAAAACAAATACATTTTAATTAAAAAAAGATATAAAATTTCAATTAAAAATAAAAATAAAAGTAAAATAGAAAATATAAGATAAAAGTAATATATTCAATAAATTAATATAAAATAATATAAAAAACTAAACAATCAAAATAAAATAAACAAAATTTAGTAATAAAAAACAATAATATACAACTAAATGAAATAAAATGCAATAAAAGAAATAAAAGCAATTAAAAATGAGATAAAATATCAACATATATTAATTTAAAAGAAAATAAGCTAAAGTCAAGGAATTAAAATTAAAGAAATAAAAAATAAAGTGAAGCAAAATAATTTAAATCTAAATTCTATTTACTAACATAAAATAAAGTGAAAAAATTAAATAAAAATAAAGCAAAATAAAATAAAAAAAAATAAAAAAATAAATAAAATAAAAACATATAAAACAAAATAAAATTAAATTACATAAAAGAAAATAAACCGAAGTAAAATAAATTAATATAAAAAAAAAATTATTTTGTGAAATAAAATAAAATAAAATTAAATTCTATTTAATAAATTCAAATAACATACATAATAAATAATAAAATAAAAGCAAATGAATTGAAACTAAATAAACTTCTTCTGTTCTCCCAAGCAAGAAACCAAGTGAATGAAGGTCGTTCTCCATCTAAACCTTAAGTCTTCGTACGGGTACTGTCTACATCCAACACTCTTAAAGGTCGAATGATTTCATCCATCTCGTTACTTGCTGAACTAATTCTAAATAACTTACCTTAACTTCAATATATCCCAACATTTCCCCTCATTTAAAAGATTTAGCATTTTATTTTTTAATTTCAAATTTTTTTATGTGTTTTCGATATATATATATATATATATATATATATATGTATATATATATTCATTTATATTTATTATACCTGTTTATGGTTTTGTTCTTAAAAACTAAATCAATTTTTTACACATTTATTAATATTTGTTGTTTTATTTAATAATAGTAAGCCCGTAAGTTAATGTTTTTTGTTTCATTTCTAATAAATTACTTATACTTAATGTTATATAAGTACAATATATAATAGTTACACATACAAACTACATTGATATTTTATGCTTATTTAATATATAAATTATAGATTTTGTTAAAAAATTTGTAGTTCTTTATTTTGTTATATTATTTATACATTTGTATATAAGTTAAGATTATTTTTTAGTTGACAATTGTTTTAAAAATAAAAATATCCTTATTCAGAAAGCAAATTTTTGGAAAAATTTCAATTTTTGAAAATTTTGTACGACAAATAAAGGGTATTTTGATTTTTCAATTTTTCTTGGCAACTTTTTTGTTGTTGGTATTGTTTTTTTGCATATGCATGTCAAAAATATATTTTTTTATACTTAAATTTTTGATTTACTGTTACCACTATCTGTGTGCTTTAATTCTGCTTTTATCAATTTGCATTTTTAATTTTTTTGTTTTATTTTTTAATGAAAAATTTTCTTTTGCATATTTTTCTCCCATATACTCGTATTTTAGTGTAATATCACAAATTTATATTCTATTCATGTTTTTTCGTTTTATAATTTTTTTAAATTAAATTAGAGTACTAAAAAAAATTTTAAACTATAAAAATAAATATTTACAAAATAATTAAAAATAATTGATTTTCATATGTTATATTAATAGGAAACGAGAGCCTTGTTAAAATTTACAAAAACTATTTTAATTTTACTTTTTTATTTTTTTTTTTTATTTTATTTTATTGTGTTACTTAATTTTCTTCCAATTTCAATTTCGTTTTTTCTTTTATTGCACAATTTGTTTTATCCTATGTGTAACACTTTTTCTAAGCACGCATACGAGTACACGTGTAAACATTTATGTACATATACATGTGTAGGCTGTATAAATACTTATATTTTGGATATGCTTTTATGCACATACGTGTACATATGTTTGTATGTATGTTTTTATGTCCGCAGCTACACAATTATTTACAGGTTAAAGCCGGCATAATCACATTCAAAATTTGCTTATAACCCCAGATATTTATTGTTATTATTAAATTTAATTATCTTTTATAATTTACAAACAATTTTTTATTATCTTTCATTTTGCAGTTTTATTTATACTGTAAAAAATTGTTTATGTACCGTATTGTTTTTGTTTTTCTTTTTCAAATATTTTTTCAAAAATTTTTGATTATTGCTTGCCTTTCATGAGTAGCTGGCGGCAAACGATTGTGTTTGAAAAATGATTTGGTACATACAAAATTATATTAATTGCGGGCTTTTTATTGGTTGGAAATTTTTTCTGATTTTTGTGGAAAATTTGTGAAAACTTTCATTTTTATTTCATTTTATTTAGTTTCATTTTTATTATTTTATTCCATATTAATTTATTTTTTACATTGTTTTATTTAACTTAATTATATTTTTTTCTGTTTCTTTAGTTATTTTATTTCGGTTTATTTTATTCTTTTTCTTTTATTATATTAATTTTTATTTAACTTTCATTTAACTTTTTATCTTAGTATTTTAATTCATTGTTTTTTATTTTATTGTCTTTTATTTTTTTTAGTTAATTTATTTAATTATTCATAATTTTTTAAATTGTATCAATTTTTTATTTTTTATCTTATTGTTTTTTATTTTATTATATTTCTTTATTTTATTTTATAATTTTATTTCATTTAATTTTGTTTATTTTGTTTTATTTCTTTAATTTACTTTCTTTAGCTTTATTTTATTTTTGTTATTAATTATTATTTTTTAAATTAGTTAATTTCTATTTAATTGTTTTTTTATTTCAGTTTATTTTCTTCTTTTTTACTTTATTTGAATTCATTCTTTTTTTCATATTTTAATTTACCTCATTTTAGATTATTTTATTTTCTCTTTTTTCTTATTTTTCGTAATTGATTTCTATTTCATTTTATATTATTTTATTTCATTTTATTTATTTTATTTTGGTTTATTTTAATTTTTTAATTAATAATATTTCTCTTATTAATTAATTTTATTTCAGTTTATTTTTTCTTTTTTACTTTATTTCATTCTACTTTATTTTTAAATTTTATTAAAGCTCATTTTACTTTATTTTATTTCCTCTTTTTCTTATTTTCGATTTCGATTTTGTTATATTTTATTTTTTTAATTTATGTTATTATATTTCATTTAATTTTTTTATTTATTTTATTTTAATTTTTTGATTGAATATTTTTTCTATTAATTTCTATTTATTTGGTTTTTTTTATTTCAGTTTATTTTTTTTCTTATTTACATTATTTCATTCTTTTCTATTTTTAATTTTTTTTTTAATTTCCTAAGTGATTTTATTAAATTTTAAAATTTTTTACATTTTTTTATTTTTATTTAGTTTTATTTTGTTTTATTTTCTTTTTTTTGTAATTAATTAATTTCTATTTACTTGGTTTTACTATTTCAGTTTCTTACTTTATTTTATTTCATTCTTTTTAATTTTATAAACTAAAAAAGGGTTAGTTTATTTTATTTTCTCTTTTTTCTTATTTTTCTTCATTGATTTCTATTTTATTATATTTTATTTTATTTTGTTTTTAATTTATTTTATTTTAATTTTTTTTTTTTGGTTTATTTTTTTTTTTTATATTTTATTTTTTGTTTTATTTTATTTTGATTTATGTTATTTTATATTAATTTATTTTGTTTTATGTTATTTTATTTTACCTTCTTTTATTTTATTTGAAAAAAATAAGATATTTTTTTTATTTTATTTCATTTCAAATCATTTCATTTTATTTTATTTTATTTATTTTATATATTTCTTTTTTTATTATTTAATTTTTATTTTTTTTTTGTTAATTTTATTTTATTTAATTAATTTTATTTTATTTTATTTATTTATTTCCCTTTTTAAACCATTCAAGCTTTCCTCAATCAGTCTCCCCTTGCTGAAAGTGTGTGTTTTTTTATTATGCTTTTTCTTATATTTTCTTCATTCAGTACACATTTGTAGTATTTGAAAATTATTTTATGTTCTTAATTATTTTTCTTTCATTTGCAGAGCTGTGGATGTACATATACGTACATACATACCTATATGAAGTGAGGGTCAGCGCTTTGATAAAACGAAATGAACTATTGATTGCAGAAACAAAATAGTCAGAACCAGGCGAGAATGGCAAAAAGCGGGCAATAAACATTTAAACGAATTGAAAAAAGCCGTTAAAAATTGGCAATAAAACTATAAAATGTTAAAGAGCTCGAATATCAATTGGAAATGAATGAAGACAGACCCAGGCAAGTAAGCAGTCAATCTAACAATAACAATAACAAGTATTATTATCTTTGTTTTTGTCTAGTGAAGCAGCACAATGCCTAAAAAGAATTGAACATTCACTTATTTAGTTTAAAAATTTCGTATAAGTATGTGATGAGAATATTGGAAATTTCTTTTTTGAAGACACATCTACTTGTTTGCATGTGGTAGTTGTTGATACACATGTTTAGATGTAAATATATTTTTTTGGAGCAACAATAATGGCATAACATTTTTATTGGCAATAATAACTTTTAAATTTTTCATGTTTGCTTGTGTTGATTCTTTAAACGAAAAATTTGAAATTTAATTTTTGATAAACTTTCACTGACTTTTTTACATTTATGAATATGTACCTAAATATGTCAGAGAATTTTAGTAAATTTCAGTTATTTGTCTTTACATCTTTCCCAGTGTGAATACATATAGAGTAAAAAATACTTTTTTTTTGCAAAATTTTCGTTCATTTCGATTTAAAGGCGCGTGGCCTCAGTACCTAAGCTGAGATCATTTCTAAGCGATATAACCAATTTAATTTTGTTTGCAATACCACCGCCTTATGCTTAATATTTTTTTTCTTTATTAGAAATACATATATAAGCTACTCACACTGTCACTTTAATACATACATACATATTTACACGGTTGGCTTACGCAAATATTTTACACATATACATATATGCTTAAGACTTACATATACATAAATACGGCGCCAAAACAACAAAAACCTTTCTGCGGTACCCTGAAGTCACCAACAACGATGTGTAAATCCCACTCATACATACATATGTAATATGGGAACACTTTCCTTAGCTCTCTAGATCTTTCGACCAGTGTCTAGTGCTAACTGTATCTACATATATAAATATTTTTGGTAGTACCAACAACATTACTAAGCACTACGCAATTGTCTTATTACTCGTAGCCTTCTTTGCAGCCACTCATCTGTAAAGAGTAAAAGAAAAAGAAGAACGGAATTGCGGGTGAGTGCGGTTGAAGGTAAAATTGCATAAATATCATGTGTATGTGAGTAGATATATGAAATGGCAGAGATATAAAATGCGATTAAATGCTCAGATGAGCATGGAGGCTATGAAAAATTAAAATTAATTTCAATATTATGTAGTAAAAATGGAATTAAAATAAATTCTTATAATAATAAGGAGTACTTTCATTAGATGAAAAAAAATTAATTGCAATTTAGAAAGTGAGAGGTAATGCAATAAAAATATATTCATTTAGAAAATAAAATTTATTAAATTAAATTGTAATTGTGTGTGTGTAATAGATGAAAAAGAGCAATTTTTTTTATAAATAGTTTATAGAGCTGGATCAATTTTTCATGATTTTAATTTACTTTCATCAGCAAGGTTTTATTCTTTAGAGTTTTTTTAAGCACTTTTACGTTAGAAGTTGAGAACAAAAAATTATTAAATTACAAACTAATGAAGTGAGTGAATAATGACAAAAGTGTTTTATTGGAACACTTACATACTTTACTGCACGATTCCGGAAAGTTTCCTGCTCCATATCACGTATCTTATGTGTCAGCATATGTTGTTTGAGGTTGCCCTATTGAAATTAGGTAGATATACATAGAATGAAAAAATATTAATTAATAAACTTGCGTACATTTCATTAATTCTAACAAAAATTAGAACAATTCAGAAAAGTTGTTAAGTTTAAATTAATTGGGGTTTAGTTCAAAATATGAATATTTGCCCTAATTTTTTATTGTATTGTACTTTATTTTATTAAATTTTATTTTGCTTAAAAATTTTATTTTTTGTTATTAATTTTGTTTCTTTTATTTGATTTTATTTTATTTTATTTTATTTTATTTTATTTTATTTTATTTTATTTTATTTTATTTTATTTTATTTTATTTTATTTTATTTTATTTTATTTTATTTTATTTTATTTTATTTTATTTTATTTTATTTTATTTTATTTTATTTTATTTTATTTTATTTTATTTTATTTTATTTTATTTTATTTTATTTTATTTTATTTTATTTTATTTTATTTTATTTTATTTTATTTTATTTTATTTTATTTTNTTAATTTAATTTAATTTAATTTAATTTAATTTAATTTAATTTAATTTAATTTAATTTAATTTAATTTAATTTAATTTAATTTAATTTAATTTAATTTATTTATTTAATTAATTTTATTTTGTTTTATTTGCTATATTTTTATGTAGATAAAAATTTTTTATTTTTGAAACTCACCTTGGTGGTGAAACCGCGATCACAGATGTTACACTTGAATGGTCGTTCCTTGGTGTGGCTGCGATAGTGTATTTCTAAAGCTGAGTGACAAGGGAATGTTTTGAAACAGATGCCGCAGGTGGTGCTTCCTCGCACGCCTACAAAGCGAAATTTTTCGCAATAAAAGAAAATTGAAACGACATTAAAATCAGCGAATACAAGATATGAAATATAGTAATAATCTTAATTCAAAATAAATCTAAAGAAGACAACAATCAAGAAAAGAGTTGAAAAAATGAATTAAAATTTATTATTGCCATTACTGCGAGTGCGCAACAGACCAAGCAAAAATATTTATGAAAATGAAATTAGGTTTTTGCTAACAAAATTCAGGTCAACCAACAAAGGGAAAATAAGAAAAATAGCAACTCACCGGAAAGTGCAAGCGGATTGAACGGTGCCGCCGGCATTACCGATTGCGCAATTGTGTTCATCGCCGAGCACATCGTTTGCGCTGTGGCGGGCGGGAAGAGCGGCAAGTTGGGAAACATGCCGAATGGTGGACGCGCAGCGACTAATGGATTTGGTGGTTGTGGCCCTTGTGGTGGCATAGCCCCCGGTGACTGCTGTTGTTGTTGCTGTTGTGCTGCGGCGGCCGCGGCGGCTGCTGCCTGATGCTGTTGTTGCTGCAGATGGTGAGCGATATGCGGCGGCGGTGGAGGCAACGCTAACTGATGGGGTGAATGCGCCGATGGATGCTGCTCTTGCTGTTGTTGGTGTTGATGCTGCTGTTGACGCAAGTGATGCTGATGCACCGCATGCTCCTGTTTGATTTGGTGCTCACGCCGCAGTTGCTCGGCATGCATAGCGACGGCATGTTGTTGCAATTGTTGGTGATGATGTTGCGCCTGTGCTTGAGCATGAGCTGCTGCCGCCGCAACCGCTTGCTGTTGCATCAATTGTTGGTGCTGCTGTTGTAAGTGATGGTGCAGCACAGGGGGCAAGCAGTCGACCGCTGAGGTGGGTACAAGCGGTGAAGTGAGCGCAGGGCTTATTTGCGGGTGTGGTTTCTGTGATGGCACAGGGTGGGGACTTCTAGCCGCACTGCTGTTGGCGCTACTATTACGCGGTGGCGAAATAGGTGTCTTGCGACCGGCAGCCTGTGCTGTGGATGTTGTGGGCGCTGGTGATTGTGAGCTGCTTTTGTTACCTTGCATTGGCAGTGCACGTGGTGTAAGGTCTAACGCGCCTTGTGATGCCTCAGACATGGAACGTGCCGGCGAGCTGGCGCGTGTCGAGCTGTGACGTGGCGCGGAGTTGGGGCTATTTGGCTCAGAGTTATTCGAATTTGCATTGCTAGCGGTGGAGTGCGGACGTGGTGTGGTATTCACAACGCCACTGGCATCGATGCGCAACTTTTGTTCGAAGAGCAAACCTTTGAAATCATCACTCGATCTCGGCCGATCACTCACGTCCAGATCGTGTGCGCTGGACATGTGTTCGGAGGAGATGTCATCGTCGTAGTCATCACCGCAATCGATATTTTCATCCATATCTCCCTGCGATGACTCTGAGCCCATTGTGCCGTTGTGGGGTCCCAGATGATGCCCCATGGCCGCGCCTGGCATAGCACCGAAATGAAAGGCAGCCGCCGCAAAAGGGTTCATGAAGGCACCCGGCATCATCGATGGCGGTGGATCACGTATTTCGGCCGCCTGTATTTGTTCGGGCGTCAAATCCGTCGGTTCGCCGGTATGCAAGCGTATATGCTGCTGCAGTACCAATGCATTCGAGTATTTTTTATGACAAACAGGGCATTGGTGGAAGTTGCGCATGGGTGGGCGTATCTTGTGCACGGCCATGTGGGTCTTCAAATTGCCTTTGGTGGTAAAAGCGCGTCCACAAATGCGACACTTGAATGGCCGCTCACCAGTATGTGTTCGGTAGTGCATCTGCAGAGCACTCTTACACGACAGCACACGATCACAAACGACACACTGATTCGGATCTGTCAATTTCTTGTTCTTCATTAGCTCCTTCAGCTTCAGTGTCTCGGAGGTGTTGGATACCTCTATGAAATTCTCCCACGAGTTGTCGTTACTGTGAGGGCGCGGCAATAATGCCATCTCGTGTTTGATTGGATTGAAGAATGGTGAACGTTGCAGGTGCGCCGGTGAACGAATGGGCGAATGATGTTCGGGTGAGAGATTTTTGGTAAAATTCAGTGGGAAACGTTCTGCGAAGAAGTCGTCGCGATGATGTAAAGACGGCGGCAGCTGTCCCGGCGTGGGCAGATGATCGATATGATTGTGTGCACCTGGTGAGGGATGCGGATGCATTGTGATGGGTGGCTGTGCGGGCTGTACGACAGGTGCCAGCACCAATGGCTTTGAGGTGGGTGTTGGTGGTGTAAAGGGCGCGCTTACGGACGAATGTGTTGGTGTTAAACTGTTTCGTGGCGCAGGCGAAGGTGCTAACTGAGGCGTCGGCGTATCCACACGAGGAATCTCCTCATCTTGCGAGTCCGTGTCTATGCGTTCCTCTTTAATTTTGATATCCAAAGCTGGTGTAGTTGACTGTGTTAGAGCTTCAGTTACTGTAGTCGTCGTCGGACTCTCTGTTGACTGTGCGGGCGCCTGCTGTGTGGAGGTGGAATCGTCCTTCTCCTCCGTAATTTCAGTCTTCACTGGTAACTCGGGTGAGTTGGATGCCGACGTTTTGCGTAAATCGGTTGGCAAATCATGATTACTTTCTTTGGATGTAGTTTGGGTTGTTGGCGCTTCAGTGTGTGTTTCGGTTGCAGCAGCTCTCGTCATTTGCTGAAAGAAGGGATTCGGGAAGCCTGCTGCACTCCCCAATGACTTCAGCAGCTCCATTGGTGGTCTATATAGACCAGGTAAGCCAGGAAATCCGGCGCCAGTTGGAAACGGCAACGGCAGCGACACTGGTGGCATCTGCTGCGGCATTTGCTGGGGCATCGCCGCAGGCGTATGCGAGGGCGAGCTATCCGGTGACATTTGATCCAGCAACGGTGGGTGGAACTTGTCCAAGTGCTCAGGTATGGGTGTGGCATTCATCGGTACGTGAGGAAACTTGTGTGCATGGCGCTGGAAATGTACCTTCAAATTACCTTTGGTGGTGAAACGACTGCCGCAGACGTTACACTTGAATGGTCGTTCGCCAGTATGCGAGCGTATGTGTATCTGCAGTGCCGAGTCAGAACCAAACACCTTGCCACAGTAACGACAGCGATGTTTGAAGAAAGGTTCATTACGGTTCTTGCCGTCGCCATTCTTATCCCTGAAAGCAAACTCGTCAGCCATATTGTTGGCGAGTATGCCCTGTGAGGCAGAGTCCAGCACCTCTTGTGCACGTTTCTGCAGCATCTCCAGTGAGTTGGGCTCGGGCAGGTCATCGTGATTGGTGATGATGCTCGAGGCGAGATCAGAACCATAAGGCAGTGGCATATTCTCCATCTCCTTCAATTTGCTCAACGCATCCAATGGTGAGGGCATTGGTCGCGTGGCGCTGCCATGCACCATCTCCATGCTCATGCGTCTGCTCGTTGGCGTGCCGAAGACGTCATCATCATCCTCACGCTTACGTTTGAGTGACTCTAAAACGACTGAAGTACCTGTTGTTGGTACTACCGACGCTTCACTTGCCGCACGATTGCCGCTCTCCGTTTCATCGCGCAGCGGTACGCCGGCGTTAATGAGATGCTGACGCGCTTTAGCCTCAGCCATGCGCGCCTCCGCCTTCTGACGCAACTCCATTTCAGCAATACGCTCTTCCTCCTCATACGTATCCTCCTCGCCATCTTCACGCTCGTCTTCCAAATCATCAGGATCGCCACCTTCCGCACCCTCACCAGCATCACTAACGTCTTTCGGCTGATTCAATGCCAATTGTGATTGTAGCTGCTGGATAAGTTGTATTTGAAAGAGTTGCTGTTGCTGCAAATTAAATAACGCTTGCTGCAGGAAGGCCAACTGTTTCATGGCCGCCTCATTATCGCCGCCCTGTGCGCCATTCGCTATTGTCTTAGCAGCAAATTGCGCGATTGCCATTTGCATATTCTGTATGGCTTCAAGATTAACCGGCGCGGTACCAAAAGCCGCGGCGGCGGCAGCAGCTTGTGGCAGTCCGGCGCCGTTGGCCGCAGCTGCAAGCGCACTTGAGGTGGGTGTTAGCGGCGCGGAAGTGCTTTTTTCAATACCATCTGCCAGTTCATTTGCAGCGGCAACTGCATTACTCGCTGCCAAACTGCTACTAGGCTTTGATGTCGGTGAGCTCACACCTGCTGCGGCCTTCCTTGTGGCTGATGCCTCCGCAGTGGTCTGCTTGTCTTCATCCCCATCTTCCTCCGCTCCAACATTCTCGTCTACTGTGCACTCTTTCGCCAAAGTCTCCGCAATTTCTGCGTCAGCCTCCTCGATATCCATTGGTGTGGGTGCCGCAAATTTGTTGTTGTTAGTCACGCAGCTGCTATCTGTCGGATATGTGTTGTATGCTGGTGAGCTGGCAGGGCTAATTGCCGACGCTATGCTTGATTCGCGAGCTTCCATGCCGGGCGTAGATGCCAACGCCACATCGCTAAGTGATTTCATTTTTAGTAGACGCGTGTCCGCAGACGTCGCACCGTGCGCATGCTCCAGTCGTGTTGGCGATCCACCAGCCAGTATAACATTATTACTGCTGCAGTTGCTATCGCTGGTGTTGCTGGTATTGTTGTGATTGTGATCTTCGGTCATCGCAGCGGCAGCCGCTTCACCCGACGCTGTTGTTGTTGCTGCTGCCATATCAGCAGCGCCTTGTGTGCAATCTTCCGCAGCCAAATCATTACCAATTGCTGTACTGCTGCTGTTGTTGGTATGCGTCGGTGAACTTGCTGCTGGCATTGTTGCGGTTGTTGTTGTTGCTGTGTCTGTATTGCACGCTGTCAACTCGCCACTGGCAATGGGCGAACAGCAAGCACCATTCTCCTCCTGATCGCTTGAATCATCGGAAGCTGCATAGATGCAAAAACAAAGAAAAACAGAAAAGAAGAAGAAGAGGTGTTTAAAAAATTGTAAAAATATAAAAAAAGAGTAAAATTTTAAAATTTTCTAATACATAATGTAATGTGAGCTTTAAACGCTCGCTGTGGAGAAATATGTTAAAGCAGGTGTAAATAAGTGTCCCCACGGATATAAAAGTTAACAAGCTGGAAAATGAGGTCCCTCAGCGTAGTTCATTGTGCATCTCCGGCGGCAAAACGAAAAGCGTGGCGAACACCCAAAGTGTTACAAGCTACAAGAAGCTGGAGTTTCTTTCAACCATTTTAGCACTTCGGAGATGCTGTTGACTGTTAAGAACACGGTAGTGTTGTTGTTGCCTCGATACAACAACCGCCGCGACTTTTCGGTTGACCGACACGCGGCCATGGCTACTTCAAGCATAGTAGTTAGTTAGTGACTGGTTAGTTAGCTACTTTGATCGGTTTTTGTCTGGTTCACAAGCCAAGCCAAAAGCCTGACAAAGCGACTACAACAAGCAACTACGTGTTCTCCACTTCGCATTTGGCAATACGCTGATCGCAGCAAAAGAAGCAGAAGTAGCAAAATGTAGTTGTAATGGCTAGAGAATCGCGTCTAGGAAGCACGGAGAAAAAAGACAAAAAAGAAATGAAAAGAAATACATTTCTGTTTTTCATCAATCGGGAAAGCATCACTGGCTACTGCTGGTTCTCATTTGCAATAACATTGACTTGTCATAATCGTGCCATATTTATTTGTTAAAGCATTCAATAAGTTGTTGGCTCTGGTTCGTTAACTAGAGCTAACGGTTTGCGTGATCATGGGAACGTTGCGACAGCCAATTGGCAACTACAGTGTTTACCGAGATTAAATTACGTTATATTATATTTAATTTAATTTAACTTAATTTTATTTTATTTATTTTATTTTTTATACTACGTTTTATTTTATTACTTTATTTATTTCAGATAATAGTTAATTTAAATTAAATTTTTTTCTATTTTTTATCTGTTTTTGTTTTTTTTTCATATTATTTTATTTAATTTTTTTTACTTTTATTTTATAGTAATCTTTGTTTTTTATTTTATTTTATTTACTTTAATTAGTTTTTTAATTTTGTTTTATATATTTTTTCCACTATTTATTTTGTTTGGTTTTATTTTATTTATTTTTTTCACTTTATTGAATTTTATTTTATTTGATTTCTTTTCATTTAATCATTTCTGTTCTTGATTTTGTTTTATCTTATCTTATTTATTTTACTGTTTTTTTCTTTTATTTTATTTTACTTAATTTATTTTAGTTTATTTCATTTTATTTTATTTTTTAATATAATTTAATTTTTTTATTTGTTTTCATTTAATCATTTTAGTTCTTCATTTCATTTTACTATATTTTATTTTGCTTAAATTTTTTATATTATTTTTTTTGGAAGATTTTGTATACTTTGCTTTATTTAATTACTTTATTTATTTCAGATAATAGTAAATACATTTTTTTCCTTTTTTTACATCGTTTTGGTTCATTATCTGTTTTTGTTTATTTTTATTTCATTTCGATTTAATATTTTTTTTTATTTGGTTTAATTTTTAATTCTATTTTAATTTAGATTTTAAATAAATTATTTTTTATATTTTATTTTATTTTATTTTATTTCATTTCATTTCATTTCATTCCATTTTATTTCATTTCATTTCATTTCATTTCATTTCATTTCATTTCATTTCATTTTATTTTATTTTATTTTATATTTATTTTATTTTATTTTATATTTATTTCATTTTATTTTAATTATTTGTTTATTTTTTATTTATTTTATTTTGTATTATAATTTCTCTATTTTTTTTTTTGTTTTGTTACTTTTTCAGTTCTATTTTATTTTTTTTATTTATTTCATTTCATTTTATTCTATTTAATACCTTTCGATTAACTTTTAATTTTTAAATGAAATAATATTTACTCCTCGTTAGAGCTTACTGTGATGTTAAGTTTGCCACACATATTTCTTTTCTTTTTATTTATATATGTATTTATTTCTTCCAGTAAGCACACATGACAAACAAAACTACATACAAAATTTTCTTTAGAATCAGGAAAGAAAAAATATCAACTATTTTTCGTACAAGCATTTTTATATAGGCATCTATGCATGTATGTCGGCAAGCACTTTAAGCGCGCTCATAGCATTTGGTGTGACTATACACCTGTTTGTTAGCCTGCTGAGCCACTTGGCTGCTGGCTATTATGGCCCTAGCTGCCGCCTCCAGCTCGTTGGCACATTAACTCTGTTGGCTTGCTGCCGCAATGTTTCGCTTAGCCAGCCTCGCCTTGGATTAGAACTACAAGCAGCAGCAGCATGTTTGTCGCGCAGATTTGGCATTCGGCATGCGGTTGCAAGCGCATTTCATAGCGCATAACAGGCATACAGCGTGATCGCGCCATAATCGCATAAAAATCTTTAACTAATCCAAGTTGTTGTAAATCGAAAAAAAAAAACAAACAATATATACATACATATATAAAGGTAAAGCAACTACAAATATCGTGCTTGATATAGGTTTAAAGAATAAGAACAGTAAAAGAATAGAAACAACTACAGCAATAACAACAACCAGAAGTGCGCTAGTAGTGTAATGTAATGGCTAAGCACACAGCTAGAAGTTGTTGTTGTATTTAGTTGTTTTTGGAATTTAGTATGTTATTGCAATTTAGTTGGTTATTGTTATTTAGTTGTCGTACCTTCGATTGCCACTTTTCATATAACTCAATTGGTAGCTGAATGTGTGTTGTTGTTAAGGTTTGTTGTAGGGGTTATTTGCCACATATATATGTATATATGTGTATATATTATTCACTTTTCAATTTCTATAATGACGAAATATCTTCTTGTAGTGGCTGGAACTAACTTCTAAAGACAAACATGTCGATATATGTATGTATGTATATATACATAAATATTTAAAGCGATTTGGCAGTTATTAAAAAAAATCTTTTATTTTTATTAAAATTAATAAAAAACTTAATTTAACTATAAACTGAATCAACCGTCTTCGACACCTCGAGATAATTAAAATTTAATGAATTAAACGCTTTGGTTCACTTTTTCAGTTTTTTTTCATATTATTTGCTTAATTTTGTATATATTATTAAAAATCTAATTATTGATGTTGGCTTGTTATTCATATAAAAATTGAACAACATAAAATGTCGTTTAAGCCATTTTTTTTTTTGCAAACGGTCATAAAAATCGTGATGATTTATGTATTTTTTAAAAGCAAACCAAGTTTTTTTAATTAGACTATTAATTCCATATTAAGTTAGCTTGTGCAGCATTTTTGATTTGATATTCAATTGTTATTGGATTAAATTTTTATGCAAATATACATCTTGAAAATCTAAATTAAAAAAAAGCTACTAATGAAAATACTTAATACGTTTAAAAAATTAAGTAAACGAAAAAAAATGAAATAAAATTAAATTAAATTAAATTAAATCAACTTAAATTAAATTAAATTAAATTATACAGAATGAAATAAAATAAAGTAAAATAAAATAAAATAAAATAAAAAAAATTAATTAAAATAAAAAAATAAAATAAAATAAAATAAAATAAAATAAAATAAAATAAAATAAAATAAAATAAAATAAAATAAAATAAAATAATATAACATAAAATAAAATAAAATAAAATAAAATAAATTAAATTAAACAAAATAAACTAATGAAAATAAAATAAAATAAATAACATAAAATGAAATGAAATGAAATAAAATTTAACTAAATTAAATTATAATAAATTAAATTAAATAAAAAATAGTTGATTTACTACGGCTTTTTCGTCTTACTAGCTGCGTTTACGTTTTAAATTTTATTAATTTATTTACTAATTTTTACCGTAGATAAGTCTTATTTAATAAGAGTTTGAATGCGAACACACTATATAACACATGAAATAAAATTACTGATTAAACGTAACAAAGGAGGTGATAATTGAATTAAAATAACTATAGAAAAATATAAAAAAAAATCAATAAACGCGTTAAACTTGTTTCATATCTCTCAGCGCAGCTTTGGACTAATAAAAGAAGTAACCTGCATATGGTTTTACTGATGATTTTTTCTTCATTTCAGCCAAACCAGCAAACCAATGACTATATTTAGTGCAAAGAGTTCTCACGCTTGCTAAAGCATTTAATAAATAAATTTGCTTAAAAAAAGTAATGACGACACTTCTTACTAAAATTTGCATTGCATATGCATTAATAACAAATTTTATTTGCACACATAGTATCCTGTTCGATAATTATTTGTCATATTTCTTATTTTTCGGCGCGATTGAAAGCAAATTTTTGGCGTTTTCCAAAAGAAATATGTGCATTAAAAGTGCAAACGGAATTAATATGTAAATACGAGTTGATATTTCGGCCATTCATACATACATACAATTGCAAAAATATACATATGTATGCGTGTGTTATCAAATATATGGTGACACTAACGTGAGCAAAATTCAATAAAAATTTTAAAATATTACTTTTTTCCAAATATTGCGGAAAGTATTTTAAGGCATAAGTTATGGCGAATAACATTTAATACGTATTTGGTAGTCGATTGCTTAAAAATGCAAATACATATAAAGATACTTAATTAAATTTAAGGTTGAAATTTTAATTTTTCTCATTATTTGCAAACGCTCGGTAAATGCAATATAAACATTATTTTATTTTATATGATTTATTGTTTTATTTTACTTCACTTTTTTTGATTTCATTTTCTTTCTATTTATTTTATTTTATCTAGTTTTTTTTTTTGATTTTTTTTTAATTATATTATATTTAATATAAATAAATATATAGTTATATATATAAAGTATTTGGTTTTTAATGTTATGTTTTGTTTGTTTCAATTATGTTTGTTTAAAAGCGAAAATTTCCGCTCTCAAAATCCAACAGTTGTAGATGTCCAAAAATTTATAAATAAATTGAAAAATAAC